ACTCCAATCTTTGTCTGCCTTCATCTTGAAAACTGCTGAGACTGAACCCAGTTACCTTTTGGTCACTGCTCCTTTTTGGACATTTTTTTCTGCTGTGTTCTTCTAGTCATTTCTAATAAGCTTCATCCAGAGGGTGAAGATCCTAGTTTATCCCCAGCCAGAGAGTGAAGATCCAAATTCATTCACAGCTAGGATGTCATGAACTGAACTAGAGAGAGGGGAAGGAAATTCTTCCCCTTCTCCCCCGCCCCCACCAGCCTTTTACCCCTGGCTCTGAGAAATGGGCCTGGGGGATGTTTGTTTCAGATTCTATGTTGTTTCAGGTACCAAAGGTGATCCTCGTGGGATTGGGAGTTTGAGCCATAAAGACCTTGGAGCCAGGACTTCAGATGGAGTGAGTACAGCCAGCTAGCCCAGCCTGGAGGCCCTGAGAAGCCAGGGTAGCTGGGACCAAAGCCCCAAGAGGGTTTTCAGATTTGAACCTGGGACTATGCTAAGTGATGAACCTAAATCCCTTTCCCTCCCTAGAGACGGAGGGGGTACAAAGGAAGAGGGGGGATTATATCTCCTACATGCTGGAGGAGTAAGTTTGTATATTTGTGATTATACCTTCTGAAGTATATATTCCCATGTAAAAGCTCCTGTGCCCCAGTACAATTGAGGGAACATCTTGCATAGCATCTAGACACACTGTCCCAATCCCCTTAAGGGTACCAGGGAACCCTGGGGAAGAGTAAAATGTAACCTACTTGGCAGGCAGGCAGTGGGGGCCTAGGGTAATAAGTATTACATGTAGAACAAGTATATGAAGGTAATACAGAAGGGGAAGACTAAAGCCCCTGGGCAGGAGTAAGAAGATGACCAGGAAAGGTCTCCTCTGCAGAAGGTGAGATTTGACCAGAGTCCTGAAGAAAGCCAGTGAAGCTAAGAGTTGGAAACAAGGAAGGAGAGAATTCCAGGCATGGGAGACACGAGACATTGCAAACACTTGGTGTTGGGAGATGGAATGTTGTATATACTAATATAAAGTGAAGGATTACTAGCTGAGACTTTAGATGGCTTGGGAGCAGCCCACTCACACTGCCAGGGACACAGTTCTGAGCCTGTGGCCTACTGGTTGAGGGACATTGTATCACAGCACTTCAGAACTGGAAAGCATGCTATAGGTTACTCAGTCTAAACTTAGATGCTACCTACTTTCTTCATGGGGCAGCTAGGTGGAGCCACAGTGGATAGAGAGCTAGGCCTGGAGTCAGGAAGCCTCTTCTTTTGGAGTTCCAATCTGGCCTCAGATACTTACTAGCTGTGTGACCCTGGGCAAGTCACTTTACCTTGTTTGCCTCAGTTTCCTCATCTGTAAAGTGAGCTAGAGAGGGAAATGGCAAACTACTCCAGTATTTCAGCCAAGAAAACCCCAAATAGGGTCATGAATAGGCAGATATGACTGAACAACAAAAACTTTCTTTGTGAAGCCTTGCTCTCACCAGACTTCTCATACCCTGCTATTGCTGGTACCCTCTCCCCTTTCAGTTTCCCTCCTATCATATCTGTGTATCTGTATATTCTCCTCCCTTCCAACCCCTACTTTGCCAGAGTATAAGCTCTTCAAGGGTAAGGACTTTTTCCTTTTTTCAACTATATTGCTAGCGACAGTATCTACTACAGGGCTTCACACATTCTTGTTGCTGTTGGGTTGTGTCTGACTCTGTGATCCCATTTGGGGTTTTTGTGGCAGAGATACTGGAGTGGTTTGCCATTTCCTTCTGCAGCTCATTTTACAGATGAGGAAACTGAGGCAAACAGGATGAAGTGACTTGCCCAGGGTCACATAGCTAGTAAGTGTCTGAAACTGGATTTGAACTCATGAAGATGAGTCTTCCTGATTCTAAGGCCTGTGCTCTATCCACTCCATCATATAGTATAGATTTAATAAATATCTGCTGAATGGGAACTGAATTTTACAGAGGAAAAACCTGAGAGGGAGGGGAAGGGAACTTGACCAAGGTCACCCTGTGTGTTAGTGGGAGAGCTGGGATTTGAGCTCCCATCTGTTGCCACCTCTGCAATGCTGTGGCTTCAGGGGTGTCATCTTTGTCCAAAAAGGAAAACATATTCCCAGCACCCAAAGATCTGGTTGTTGATTCAAAACAGATAAATAGCCAAGTCTACTTTGTTGATTTTTTTTCCTTCTCCAGTAGGGCATTTAGTTGCCTGCATAAAATTTATTTTTCTTAGTACCTCCAGTAGAGTCCCCAGAGACAAACTATTAAACCTTTCAGTTCCCAGAGGTAGGAGGAGGCTAATAATGATGATAATAATAAATTACATTCATTTAGGATTTTATATTCAAATATACAAACAGATCCATGATTTTATAGATACCAGAGTTCCTGCCATTAAGAGATCGCAACCTATCCATCCCTATTCCACTCTCTACCCCTTGACCATGTGCAGACATTTCAAGGACTTTGTGACTTAGAAAATGGGTTCACATAGACTAAGAAAATATTAGAACATAGCACACAGAAGATCAGAGCTGGCAGAGGTCTTACAATACAGAATGTCAGGGATGGGAGGACCCTTAGAACAGAGATTGTCAGAGCTGGGAGAGCCCTTAGGACACAGAATGTCAAGCTGAAAGGGACTTTTAGGACCCAGGATGTCAGAGTTGGGAGGGCCCTTAGAACACAGAATGTCAGAGCTGGGAGGGCTCTTAGATTATCAGAGCTGGAGGGATGTTTAATATCAGTACAGAGAATGTCAGAGATGTGAGGAACCTTACAAATTATCTCATCTCATCTTGATAACACTAGTGAGGTAAGCAGGGTCACCAACTTGTAGTGTGACCTTAGGCAAGTTTCTTTCCTTCTCTGGTCCTCAGTTTCCACATCTTTAAAATGAGGTCAGACTAGATGATCACTCAGGTACTTTCCAGCTTTGATATTCTATGTTCTATGTTTAAAGTCACTTCCAGCTCTAAGAGTGGATGCTTTAAGTTCCAAGGCCTCTTCTGGCACTGACATTTTATTCTATAAGGTCTCTCCCAGTCGGACATTCTATTTTTAATGTTCAGTAATTCATTCAACAAATACAATCTATGTGCCAGGCATTGTGCTAAGATTTCATCTTGATCCAACATTCTATATCCCAAGGTCCTTTCAAAACGGGGCCAACCCGCACACCTTAATATCAGCCGGTTGTTCTGGAAAACAGTGTAAACCTAAAAGTGCAAAATAAATGTGGCTGATTATTTTTCCTGCTCTGAACTTCTAATTCCACGATCCCGGCAACTCCACAGGAGGCCAATCCCCACTTTAGATTCAGACAAAATTCAATTAACAAACTGAGCCAGAGTTACAGGATCACACAGGGAGAGGTAAGGCCCTAGAAGAAGCCCTGGAGTGGAGGGCAGGACACTTGAGTACTTCTTCTGACTCGGTCACTAACTCTCTCAGTGACCTGTGACCTCCGGCCCTCCCTGTGCCTCGGTCTGCTCCTCTGTCCATCGGTTCTAGATTCCTTCCAGGGTTTAGTGAGTCCCCAGAGAGACAAATAGAAAAGTGTAAAGTGGTTCTCTGAGGTTCATTCCCTTCCTCCTGGCCTGGTGTGCACACCCCCTCTCCCTAGGCAAATGGCTCCCCTTCCCTCCAGGGACACTTTGCAAATGAGCCCCAGGCCCGCCCCCTCCTCGATGCAAAGCCCAGACCAACGTAAAGCAGGCGGCTCTGGAGCCTGTGTGCGGGAGGGAGACGAGAACCCAAAAGCAGAAACAAACAACAAAAAAAACCAACCCACTAACCCACCCCCTAACCGCTTCTCGCGGCCTCTCGCTTCAGAAAGTCCGGCCTCCACAGTGGGCGCTGAGCAGAGCAAGGAGGGCGGAGCCCGGACGGGCCGGGCCGGGGGAGGGGAGAGGAGGGGAGGAGAGAGGCGGGGAGGGGAGAAAAGGAGGGAGAAAAGAGGGAAGGAGGCGGAACTCTGCAGAGGACTAGCCAATCGGCCTGTCAATCATATCCGGCGCACCCTCTCGTTGGATGATGCCCTGCGGGCTTATCATTCCATCTCCTGGTCCTCCCTGTGTCGTCATGCCTCCTTCTTCCTCTCTCCCTCCCTCTTGCTAAATCAAGACTTACACGTGCTCCTCCGCTAAGAAACATAGTCCACTTCCCGCACTGCCCCCCCACCCCCGCCCCGGCCTCGCTCTCCTTTCCCCCTCCCGGGCCCCACATAGGCTCTCTGGTCCTTCCTGGTCATCATCTCTAATACCCTCTTCCCCCCTCTCACCCTTCCAGGGAGCTCATGGCAGGACCGGGTTCAGAAACAGAGGGCCAGGGAACCAGTCGAATAACAGACATAAGGAGTTTTTAAAGAAGCCCAAAAGAGAGGGGTAGGGTGTCTTCTAAAAATCACTTATGGACTTTTTTTTTAATTCAGGGGAAGAATTCTCTCTGCTTTTGCAAAAATTTCCCCTCCCTTCCCCGACTAGCATGGAAAAGCGCTAGTACTCCGCTCGCAGTTCGCGCCCTCCAAGGGCCCTAGGGCCATCTACCCCGGAGCCCGGTCTTACTGCAGCCCGCCTGCCCGCTCGCGGGGCCGCTGGACAGCGACGGCGGAAGGATACGAAGGGGGTGGGAGGAGCGGGGGGATCCGAGGCGGAGCGGTGACAATGTGGAAGGGGGAGGGGACGGAGACTGGGAGGGAGAGGTGGAGGTGGGGGCGGCTGGGGGGGGGGGGGGGAAGGGTTGGAACATGTCTCCTGCCGCAGGAAGATGAAGTGGTTACAATTGTAGCGGAGCCCCGGGGTTCCGGAGGGCTCGGATGTGAGCGCGCGCCGGCGGCAGCGGCGGCGGCCAAGGCAGATACATTGTAGCGGCGCTTGGAACGCGGCCCGGGAGCCCCGCGCGCCGCTGCCTTGCGGGGCCCAAGGCGCCCGCGAGCTACGGAGCAAGGGGGCGGCCGAGGGGCTGGGGGGGAAGGGGGACAGAGAAAGGAACGAGGCGCCCACGCGCGAGTCGGGAAGCAGCCGCCCGCGGGGCCGCGGTGCGGCGGCGGGGGGCTTGGGGAAGCCCGCCCGGCCAGACGCCACCGCTTTTGTCCACGCCGCCTTCGGGCCCGAGGAGCCGGGCTGGTGCAGGACCGGGCGGGCGGGCGGTGTTGGGGGGACGCCGCTGCCGCCGTCTCCGCTGCTGTTTCATGCCCCCGACCCTCCAGACCCTGGCTCGCAGCTTCCCGCCCGCCGGATGCAATTTCTTACCGAGAAGGTAAACAGCCTGCGCCGGCTGGAGTGGGGGGTTGGGGGGGAACTGGCTGGAGGTGGGGTGGGGGCGCGCCGCACCGCCCTGGGGACTTCCTCGCTCCCCTCCCAAGGGCTTTGTGTAGGTACCTCGGGCCAGAGCCGCGACAAAGTTGGGCTCAGTTCTCTTTCCAGGGGAGAAGTTTGGGGGACGCACGGTGCTTTGGGAAGGTGGGGGGGTTGTGGGGTAGAACGCTCCCCGCTTCCCTCGGCCAGTCTTGCTGTCTGGCCCCCGTGGCTTCCTGGGGACTAGCTTTGGGGCACTGGTTGGGGGGAGGGGTGGAGGCGGCAGCTGGAGGGGACTCATTGTTCTGTTAGCCAAGTTTAAAGGGTCCGGAGGGAGAGGCTGGGTCTACCCCCCTTTTTTTTTTTTAAAGGTGAGGAGGGAAAGAGTATGGGGTACTCTGAAAGACCGATCCCCAGCCTCCTTTACCCAATGGCCCTCTTTCGTCCCCAGATGTGCGTACAGTTTGCTGAACTTTAGAGACTGGGATGGGGGGGGGACGGGACGGGACGCTCCAACTTGGTCTGCTCTTCAAAGTTTGGTTGGCTTGGCTGGGGCTCATTTTCTTTTTCCCCCACTCCCCTCCCCTTCCCTCAGAGCCCCTAAGCGGGCCCTGCCCCTGGTGGAGTGAGTGTGTAAGTGGGGCGGAGGGGGGGGAAGAGGTGGAATCCAAGAGCTGGCATTTGCAGGCCCCGGCCCGGAGTTTGGGAACAGGCCGGGGGGAGGGGGGGATGGGGAAGCCCTTTTGTCTGAAGGCAAGAAGGTGCCTCTCCTAACTGGTGTCTCAGGTTGAAGTACATGGGGTGGGGGGTGAGAAGGGAGGGGGGTGCGGGGGTGGGGAGGGGTACGGTGGAACATCTGCTCTGCGTTAACTCGGGGAAAGGCTTTCTCCGCTGGCATGCGGCGGCAAAACTGCTGTGAATGATTTCAGATTGAGGCATAACACGCCCCGGCCGCTCCGTGGGCTTCAAAGGGATCCCCACCGCCCGGGCTCCCCGTGCCTTGGCCGCGGTCGAGCGGGGGGGGGGCGGGGAGGCGGGAGGAGGAAAGAGACTGGCAGCGGCTGTCTGAGCTCATCGATTTCACTTGTTCTTCCCCCCCGCCCCAATCAGTTCCACCCCCCCACCTCCCCCCTTTCCCTTGAGCTACTCCAAGTTAGCTTTTGAAAGGGGGTTGGGGAGAGAAAAGTTATTATTCTCATTCATGAAGTTAGGACTTTTTCTGGACTAAGTGGAAAAGGTCAGTTTCTCCTTTACGTTTCCCGCCTGGGGCGGGATGTTAATTTAAAAAGACATCGTTGGGGATTTTTTTTCGGGGGGTCTTGTTTAGGGGCAGTGGCCCTCCCCCCCATTTTTCTTTTCCTTCAGCCGGAGTCAGGTGGATAGTTCTCCCCCACACCACGCCCCCCTTCTCCGCCCCCACCCCACACGCAACCCCCTTCTCCCTCCCTTTCTTGTTTTTGAGCGGGTACCCGCCCCCCGGGGACCCTTGGGGAGAGTCGAGGACTGCCTGGCGAGGAAGGGGAGCAATTATTTCCTAAGTTACCTTAAATAAAAAGCCTTTATTGGCTTTTGTTGTTTTCTTGGGGAGGGGCATATCCAACTCAACAAATATTTATTAAGCGCCGGCTGTATGCTAGGTGCTGCTTTAGATCCACTTAAAATCCTCGTGTACCCTTTCCCCTCCCCCACCGAAGGGGGGGAGGAGCCGGGTTTTGCTCGTTTGATTTTTTTTAACTTTTTTTTTTTTGTGGTGTGTGTGCCTGCGCGCGCTTGTGTGTTGTGCACTTCATTGAAATGCGTCCTGACATCTGGCGCTGGGGGCCGCTCCAAGAAGGGAGAGAAATTTCGATTTCTACCCCACCCCCCCATCTTTGAGCCTAGGCTCTGGGTGCAAAGAGAGTTCCACAGTGCACGTCCCGTTCCCCCACCCCACCCCCGCGTCTGCCGGAGGGATCCTGGAGTGGGAAGCAGCCTTAGTTGCCCTCTCCCCCCTCCATAATTCCGTTTCCCATTTCCGGAAGGAAAGCCCATACCTACAGTTGCTATTTTTATAGTTGGATCTCTCTGCTCCTGAGAGTTTGGAGAATTAATTTAGTGGTGGTTGGGTGTCCCTGCATTGTTCAGTGCCTGGTGGGCTGGCCCTTTAAGAGGGGGAAGGGCCCGGCTGGCCCTTTAAGATCCCCCAAAGGCGATAACTGGCCCTCCACCCTGGATGTCGAGTGGCCCATATTTTTCCTCTCTCTCCTTTCCTCATTGGTTGGTCGTCTCCCCCCCCCATCCCCAGCAGAACTGGGAGGCTGGCAGCCCCCAAAACAAACATCCGAGTGTGAACCTGAATGGGGAACTTGTTCAGCGCCCGGGGCGCCATGTGCACTGGCCCCCAGCCGGCCAGGGGCCCCTTGGAGATGGGAAGGATTTGCCAGGGTTTTAGCATTTACAAAACATTCATCTGTCAACGCCACCACCCTCCGGAGTTCAGCCTTCTTCATTAAAAGCTCTCCACTCTCTCTTCCCCTCCCTTACCCTTCTGCTGGTCTCCCCCCTTCTCGTCCCCCCACTTCTTTATGGGTCTGTATCTCTCCCTTTTCTGTGTCTCTTTTCGCTTCTCGGTGGTGTGTGTCTCTACCACTTCTCCGTGGGTTTTTGTCTCTTAAACCTCTCCCCCCCCACACACACACCTCTGGATCTGTGTTGCTCCCCCCATTATCTGTGAGTCTCTGTCTCCTCTCCTTCTCTGTGGGTCTGTCTCTCTTCTCCCTTTTCTATGGGTCTCTTTTCTTCACCCTTCTCGATGGGGCTCTCTGCCCCGGCCCTTTTCTCTGTGTCTCCCCCGCTTTCTCTGTGGGTCTCACCCCCCCTTTTTTTCTATGGGTCTTTTTCTATCCTCCCTCTTTCTCTCTGGATCTGTCTCTTCCCCCCTTCTCTGTGGTTTTCTCTCCCCTCTTACTCTGGGTGTGTGTCTCTCACCCTCTTCTCTCTGGGTCTCTCCTCCCTTCCTCTTCTCTCTCTGTTTTCCCCCCTTCTCTGTGGTTCTGTGTCTTTCCCCCCTCTCCGTGGGTATGTCTCTTGCCATCCCCTTCTATTTCTTCCATTCCGTGTGTGTGTGTGTGTGTGTGTGTGTGTGTGTGTGTTTGTGTGTTTGTTGTTCTCCTGTTCTCCCCCCTCCTCGTGTGTGGCCTTGATTCACATCTCTGTCTCTGTGCATGTCATTCTCTCTCCTACCCAATCTGCCTCTTTCTGCCTCCCTGGGCCCTACCCTCTGTGCCTTTTTCTCTCCTTACTATTCTATCTCTCCCCCTTTTCCTTGCATTTGTTCGCCTCTTCCCCCCATCTCTCTCTCTTCCACCCCACACATGTGTATATCTCCTCTGTCCCTCCCCCTCCCATCCCCCACAGTGTCTCCAGGCCCTCCGGAGCTGTTGCCGCTGTTGAGTCTGTGGGAGTATGAATCAGCAGCAAAGGATGGCTGCAGTCGGGACAGACAAAGAACTCAGTGACTTGCTAGACTTCAGCATGGTAAGCAGTCGTTGGGGTCTGTTTAAAGGGCCAGAGGACCTGATTGTCCTGTCCCTCCCCCTCCCCCAACTTCTCAGGCCTCTGCCCTGGATGTGTGGAAGGAAAGGCCCAGAGGCCTTCTCTGCCCCCTGCACCTTTTCACTTGTCAGAGGTAGAAGCAGGCTCCTAATTCTTCCCCCCACTCCAGCCTGTTTTGGGGGAGAAAAAAGGAAGGAGAACAAGTGGGCATGGCCTCCCCTGGTCCCCCACCTCCAGAGGGGTACAGGGGGAAGAGATGACATAGGGAAGGAAAAGTCAGCTTCTTGTGGGGGACAATTTGATTGTTATCTGAATAAAACACAACACCCACTATCCTTGGTGCAATTCCGTCCAGTAAAGACCTTAAGTGTCCTGTCCCCTGCAAACCAAATATAGCTGAGGGTTGCTGTTCTCTCTTCTCAGAGGACACTCCTGAGAGCCTCCTCCTACCTTTCTCACCCACAGGCCTTCTGCAGACTACATTCACTTAAGGGTTCAAAAAGAAAAACTGTTTATTCAAGAAATTCACATTCCCCCCCCCAAAAAAAAAAGACCTTGTCAAACTCTTCCAGTTGCTGTTATAAACCTAGGACATGGGTAGATGAGTGTGTGTTCTGGAAGAGGAGGGGTGCTCAGATATGGAGCTTAGAGAAATCTTCTAGTCTTTGGGCCCTGCGCCACTTGGGAAGCCCATGGATGGACGACTTCTCAGAACAAGGTTTTCAAATGGAAAAAATAAAATGCCTAGAATTACAGAGGAAACCAATTCCATTGAAATACAGGTTATCAACTTTTTATTTATTTATTTATTTTTAAGTTCATTGGACCCTATGTTAAGAATTTTAGTTTTGAGGAAACTGAGGCATAGAAGAAGGGAAGTAAGTTGGCCAGGGTCATTCTGGCAGAATAGTGGGAGGAACCTGGCTCAAAATGTGGGTCTCTTTCCCCAACTTCAGGGCTCTTTTCACTAGGTTACTGCTTTGAAGTACGGGGAGCTGGAGGCTCCAAATGGCAAGGCTGCCATTTCAAGGACACCTTCTTCGTGAAGCTGTTCTCAGGCCCTCAGTTCAGTGTCTTCCCCTCTGCTGCTTATTTCCAATGTATCTGTAGACACCTGGCTGGTTCAGAGTGGTTTGCTTGTTGTCTCCCCTGAGACTGGGAGCTCCTAGAGGGCAGGGCCTCTCTTGTGCCTTTCTTTGTATCCCCGGCACTGAGTACAATGTCTGGTGCGTAGTAGGTGCTTAATCAGTGTTGATTGAGTGGAGTCTGAAAGGAGGCACGCCTGGTTGGAAGAGAGATAAGGTGGGTGTTATGCTGGTGGCCTGTGGTTTGGCTTGGATCTGTACTTGCTGCAGTTGGCTCCCCTACCCTTTTCCGGCCCCTTTCCCCCCGGGTCTTCTGACACCCAGGCCGTTCCATTCATCTCTTCCTGCATCCTAGTTGGCCCACCACCTGGCAGGATCGGTCTGAGCCAGGAGATAGAGGCTGAAGGAGGCATCAGGGAGACCTGGTTTGAGACCTTGGTTTTGGGTACTTCCTTGCTCTGTGAACATGGGCAAATGACTTGTCCTACCTGAACCTCAGTTTCCCCATCTATAAAATGGGGGACAATAAACCCCAGTTCACAGGGTTGTTGGGAGGTTTGAATGATAACTTACGATATGAAGCATTTTGGCGATCTTAAAAACTACGTAGATGAAGGGGCAGTTAGGTGGCATAATGAATAGAGTAGTGGCCCTGGAGTCAGGAGGACTTGAGTTCAAATGAGGCCTCAGACATTTACTAGCTGTGTGACCCTGGGCAAGTCATTTAACCTTGATTGCCTCCCAAAAAAAATTGAAAGAAAAATAGCAAACCGTATAGATATCGGACATTCTTACTGGTAATAGTGATTTCAACAGTTGTTAGCTGTATGATGGAGGCAAGTCCATTGAGGTTAGCCTCAGTTTCCCCATCTGTAATAAAGGCAGTGTGGAGCCATTGGAAGATAACTGGAGTACAAAGATCAGGGTTCAAGTGCTACTTCGGTTACCCAGATGACTGAGCCAAGAAATCAAGCTGGACACAGCACTGGACCTATCATCAGGAGGACCTGAGGTTGAATTTGACCTCAGACATTTACCAGTGGTATGAGCCTAAGCAAATCACTTCACCCCTGTTTACCTCAGTTTCCTAATCTGCAAAATAGAAATAATAATAGCACCAGCCTCCCAGGGGTACCTTGGTGACACCTATCTAGTGGATAGCATGCCAAACCTAGAGTCATGAAAATTCATTCAAGTTCAAGTTCAAGTTCAAATCTGGCCTCAGACACTTACTGACTATGTGGCCTTGGGCAAGTTACTTAACCCTGTTTGCCTCAGTTTCTTCACCTGTAAAATGAGCTGGAGAAGGAAATGGCAAATCCGCCCAGTATCTTTGCCAAGAAAATCCTCAAAATGGTGTCACAAAGAGTCAGACATGATTGAAACAACTGAATGTTGCCACCACTTCCCAGGATAGGTGGGAAGCTCAAGTGAAAAAATAAACAGAAAACTTTTGGCAAACTTTTGAAGGCTAGATAAATGTTGGACACTACTATTATTCCTGGGTCCAGGAACTTTCCTGAACTGTGCTCTCCAAACTGGCCTCTCCTTCAGTCTGCACAAGAGGAGTAAGGCAAGATCTGAACTCAGCTCTTCTCGATTCCAGGGCCAGTCAGTTTTTTTACTCATGACGCCAGGCTGCCGCTCAAGGACTTTCCATTGGTGTTCATTGTCAGGGGCTGCTGGTAAAGGATCAGAGGATAATCTATTTGGTACTCTTTCTACTAGCCCACCAAGTAGCATTCATTAAGCACCTACTGTGTGCCAGGTACTGTGTGAAGCCCTGGGGATACAAAGCAAGGCAGAAGACAGGCTCTGTCTTCAAGGACCTCCCAGTCTAATGGGGGAGACAGAATGCAACCAGTTGTGGACAATAATACAGACAGAATAAATTGGAGGTGATAAAGAGAGGGAGGCAGGAGAAAGGCGGGGGGGGGCAGTCAGGAAATGCTTCTTTCAGAAGGGAAGGTGAGCTGAGACTGGGAGGGAGGCAGGGAGTCCGGGAGGGGGAGATAAGGAGTGTTCCAGGCACGGGGGACAGCAAGGGATGATGCTGAGAGTGGAGAGATGGTGTCTTACGTAAAGACCAGCCAGGAGGCCAGTATCATTGGATGGAAGGGGCGTGCTCTGCAGATGAAGATGTCCGAAGATTGCAAGGGTGGCCAGGGGCCAGGTTCTGGAGAACTTGAAAAGGCAAATGGAGGATTTCATATTTGAGCCTGGAGGCAATAATCCAAAGGGAAGGGTGTATAAAAGTGCAAATTTGTATCAATGAGGGCTTTAGAGTTTTTGAAACAAATGTATCTCATGTGATATCCTGCTTGATCCTGGAGAGCCCCCTAAGTGTGTGTGTATGGGGGGGGGTTATGCATCCCATTTTACAGATGAGGAAACTGAAGCCAGAAAAGAACAGAAATGACTTGTCTAAGGATATACAATGAATCTGTTGCAGATCTGGGATCAGGACCCAGTATCCCAGGAATGGACATTGCAAATAACATGGCATAGAGAGTGGAACAGTCAGCTGAGAGTCAGGAAGACTTTTGAGTAGCTCTTTGACCCTGGCCAAGTCCTATAACCATCCAGTGTTGATATAGCACTTGAAGGTTTGCAAAGCAGTATACAAGTATTATCTCATTTGAGCTGCACAGCAACCCTGGGAGGGAAGTGCTGTTATTATCCTCATTTTACAGGTGAGGAAACAGGCTGTCAGAGGTGAAGTCACTAGCCCATGGTCGCATAGCTAGTTCATTTCTTTCTTTCTTTCTTTCTTTCTTTCTTTCTTTCTTTCTTTCTTTCTTTCTTTCTTTCTTCTTTCTTTCCTTTTTTTAAGGTAGTTGGATTTGAACTCAGGTCTTCCAGTACTCGATTCATTCACTGTGCCACCTGGCTGCCATGTCAGAATGGTGGTACCTGGAGAGCCAGCCTCCCAGCTGGTTAGGAAGATACAATAAAGAACACAAAACTCTTTGTAGAGGTTTAACTGTCAGTATTATCAGACCATCCAGTGGAACATGCTCATTTTTTTTCAGTTGAGGAAACAAAAGTGCAATAATGAATGATGTAAATCAAGGTCTTCTGACTCCCAACTCGGGGCTCTTGCCTTCATATCCCACTGCCCCTTTTTATACCCAATTCTGGGTTCTCTCCACTGTGCCTCCTTGCTTCTGTACGAACCCTGATGGCTCAGGTTGTCTCTTTCTTGTTTTCCTATCTTAGCACAGAGCTCTACACCTGATGGATACTTAATCATTACTTTTTTTAAAAATCTCCATTTTATAGAGAAAGAAACTGATACCTGGGAAGGGTAGAGCATGGCAGAGACTTGGCCAAGGTCACCCAGCCATGGCTGGAGGGCTCTTTGCTCATTTCCCGGATTAAATCCAGTTTGACCTGAAACATTTTTTTAAAAAATCTGTATAACATTCTCCTCTTCTCAGAAAAAGGATCTGCATGGAGAGTCAACTCCACTTGGCCTCCGGAAAGGCAAGTGGTATTTTTAAGGCAATTTTTTATTTTTTTTTCTGTGCTTCAGTAATTTGGGTTTCTTTTCAGAGCTGTTTTGTCAAACTGAAATGTCCCAGGGCATCAGCCCATAACAGGCATGGGTGGCTGAGATCACAGGCTTGAAGCCCTGTTGGGTTGCCCAGGGGCCCCAGACACTGGCCAGGTCCCACTAAGAGTCTACTTCTTCTGCCCAGTTCTTAGCAACAATTGAGCCTGATGGGGCCTGGGATTAATAAACCCCTCTGCCTCTGCCTGTCAGGTCAGGGCAGTCCAATAAAGCTGGTAGGTGTATTCCATGTCCTTGGTCCTGTGAGTTAAAGACAGTGGAGCCTCATCAATTGTCAAAGCCAGTAGGGACCATAGACCACAGAATGTTCAAAGTGAGAAGGG